TTCCCAGCCCGACGTTGGCAGAAGAGAGCCAAGGGCAGCAGCTAGGTCTCCTCAACCCCGGGCCAGCCTGGTCCACGCTGCGGAGAGCCTGTACAAATCCCAGCGGTTCGTAGCGTTCTTTGCCTGTTTTTTTTTTTTTTTTTATTGGCATCATCATATCTTGCAGCGAACGTCTGGCACAGCGCTTAAAATGAGTCGTTACCGCGGGCAAGGAGCGGCTCAGAGGATGGACTGTTCAACTGCATTATCCTCACGTGCTGCTTTGTCTCCACAGTATGGCGCAGCCTGAGCTAAGCTTACGGTTTTCTCTAAAGTAGGTGGTTATCAGGAGCAACTCCGTTGACGTTAGCAGAACGTGAGGTAAAGAGAGAACAGTGAAGCCCACCCAGATTTCACTGTGGCATAAAACACTCGCTACGAAGCATATCCCAGACGTCACTGAGAAAACGGAGACTTTGCTCAGCCCTACAGCAGCAGAGCTTTAAAGAAAGGCGACTCAAACTGGACAGCCAGGACTCCAGAGAGTCTCCAGCCTGCCTGCATTTAACACCAGAATAAGAACTAGTTGAATTTTGCTCCTCAAGAGTGACTTTTGGGCCTTACAGCTGCAGGTGCTGAAACCAAGGGGCAGTAGGTGACTCTGATCTTCTCCTGGTCATAAGGTAACAGTTTCCAAGCAAGACTCCTCAGATCGCTAATAGGAAGCGAATGCTGCTGGTTGTCGGAAAAATCCCTCTTCCTTGGTGTACTCCCGCCAGGCTCCTCCACAAGCATTCAGCCATTTACCAAGACCTCATCCAATCTGTCCGCTGATATTTGCTTACTGTTTGGTATTTCTCGATTCTCTGCAGCTGACTCCCGAGTTCACGCAGCGTCTGAACAACAAAATACGGGAACTGCTCCAGCAGATGGAGAGAGGCCTGAAATCTGCTGACCCACGGGATTGCACTGCTTACACTGGCTGGACAGGTAGGATGGCCACATAGACACTCGAACATCTGTTCAGAACTGAGCAAGGCCTCTCTGAAGCTGTCTTCTAGGTTAGGCCAAATCACACCCTGGCTTGGGTGTTTGTTTGATCAAGGTAGCTTTGCATCATGAACGGTAGTTCTGCATGATTTTTAATCGGTTAAACGAAGGGGCCGTCTTTCTTGGGACTCCCCGTTTCTGACAGTTGAATTCAACCTGCAGAGGGAAGACTAGCATTGCAGGACAGGATTGGGTCTTCTCTTGATTAATAGTGCCAAAATTCTGCAAGGGATAAAGCACAAGGATTGAAATGCATCTGGTCGAGAGCAAATGTTCGAGTCTTCAAAGGGGCTGGCTCCAAATCCAGCCCGCTCCGCAGCGAGGATGGTGGCAAGTAAACCACTGCTCTGTTAAGTAGACGCAAACGCCTAACAGGTCATTCTCACGTAAGGAGCTCTTGCATAACAGCAGTAGCAAGCCTAGAGCCTGAAATAACGTCCATCTTCTCAGTTCGGGTTGAGTTTTATCTTATGTGACGTTGTGCAGTCAGCAGGTTGCTCTGTTCTTGTCCCTCAGGCAATGTCCCTTCACTTATTCAGGGCTAGTTCTGCTCCAGTACCTGCTGGAGGGAGGAAAAATTCAAACGTTAGTATAATTAAGGATGGAAGCCTTTCTTGCGCTAACTTTTCTGTGCAAAGCTTCTGTTCCAGAATGCTTTTTTTCCCTCTCGTCCTACATCTTCAACCTGTTTTTTCTGCCTTGGGAACATGCCCTGCTTTCTTCTCCCCTATTGCCACCCTCTGGAGCTAGTAAGGACACACTACTCTGCCTTTTCATCCCTGGCTATGGCTCTGTGCTTTTTCTGCCTTCCTGCCGCTTCTCTCTGCACTGTGGCAGACTCTAGGGAGTCACAGTCAGTCTCCTGGCTGCTGCAAGGTATTTTGCTGCCAACTTAATGCACTCAAGATCTTTGCCGGTCCTGGCTGCAACTCTCTGTTCCATGCCTTTTTTTGGCTACACACTGCAATCCGAAATACCAATTTTCTACATTGTGATCTGGGTACGGTGGGCCTGTATTTGGAACACGAAGCCAACCGTTTGTTCAGGAGAATTGCGTTCACTGTGTTGATGCTGTGCTAACGTTGCAGCTCAGTGAGAGCGATGCCAGAAATGCCTGCTTAAAAATTTTTGTAAGGTAGACTGAGGCACTGACAGCAGTCCAGAGTGCTTCACAAGAAATACTAAGAAATGCCAGTGTTAAATCCCAGCGTGGGAGGTGATTTCTTCACTTGCTGCCTAGCAGCACTCCGATGCTGCTGCCTGTGAATTTATGCGTTTCTGCTCAGTGCTGGCTGATCTCATCCTGCGAGATGGGTCTAGGCCTCCAGTCTGTGTGACCTTGCTCTGAGGTCCCTTGGGTTGAAAGGCGCTCCTCACATGAAGCTACTCTTCAGGCACGGAGACGGTACTTGTCATGACAGTAGAGCCTGCCTCCGATCAGCATAATTCAGGAGAAAGCAGGACAACTAGCTGCTGTTAGGAGTACTCTGAAAGTGGGGAGAAGGTGAACACCTTTCCCAGGAGACTGTTTTCTTCCATAGGGTGGTTGTAAGGAGCTTTCTGCCAGAACCTGACTGCTGCTTTGAAATGGTGTGAGAGCTCTAGTAGGATTTCAGTTTGTTTTTACTTGGAAAGAAGTTTCTCCAGAGGGATTCCTCTCTTCTCCCTGGGGATCATTCTTCACTGGGCACACAAACCTTGCCCTGGCTGATGGGATTAGAAAAAGCCCATAGAATGATTTTCTGCAGGTCACAGCTGGAGAAGTGAGGTTTGCAGACATTACACTGTATCTCTCTCCCCCCGCTTCTCTTCTGAATCCTAGCTACGTTAATTTATGCAGTGCGGTTTCCAGAGAGGAAATTAATTGGGCCAAGACAGCAGCTTTTTCCCTTAATTGCTTATGTAGAAAAGGCTTGTTGAGTATCTTCTCACGTAAATCATTGCCCAGCAGTCTGAAATCAATCCGCACTCTTGTGGCTGCTAGTAAGAGAGGTTTGAAACGCGAGTCTTAGTGCGAACTCTGCACGAAGTGTAACATACTTGAGCATACTCCATTACACCCAGTAATGCACAGCATATGCTGGCATTTTACTTCTGTGCCCGTTTCTTCCCCAGCACACTTGAGAGCCCTGTTTCTCCAGCCTGCATTTGTGCCAGGGAAGCCACAGCTTCTTGGCACAGGAAGTTGGAGCAGAGGGAGAGAAGGACTTAGGTTTTCAGCTCAGAGGCAGCAAAAACACACTTCAGATCAAAATTATCCAGTGTAAGGCTGAATGCCCTCAAAACACATTTGAGGCAGCTTGTTACTTTCTCATTCGGTTCCCCACAGAGATCGAGGCTCTGTAGGCCAAGCCTGGTGCATGCCTGCATATAGGCCAGACTCGGCTCTCCTGTTCTCTTTCGTCTTTTAGTCAATTTAACTAGACCGCTGTAAAAGCCTTTGTGGTTTTAATGTGTTTCACTGGTATCAAAATGTTGACTGAGGGAAGGTAAACTGCCGTAAGCTAATTTTGAATCGGAAGCGGTTCAAATCCTGGCAGGAACACAACTGTCTGATCCATTTTCCAGTAGATTAGCGTGAGGACACCTAAGAGTACATACATATGTGTTGATATTTCTCATAGTGCAAGAGGCCTTACTCCAAAGACTTCAGACTGGAAGCACAGGCGATGGAAAGCAGATGGAGGGAGACTGACTTCATTGCTGTCACCTCTTAGGCTGATGACAGAGCTGGGAAGCTCCCGAGTCTGCTGCCTGATGGACTTTCATGTCCCTCCAAGCTGATGAGGTGATCTGCCACCTGAAATGTTATATAAAGGAAATTCTCCTCCTTGCACATTCCGGCAGCGCTTTTGGAGTTTGTCTTCCATGCAAGCCTTCCCTTCTCTAGCAATAAGCTTTCAGAGTGTGAGGTCCTCTGAAGCAAACCAGCAAGTCCAGGTGGCTTGCCCCCACCCAAAGCTTCTGGCTGGCCTGTTGGTGAGCGGAGAAGAGTAGGGCTGAGTTGCCTTTTGAGAGGACTCTTCAGAAGGCACATCAGATGGGAGAAAAGGTATTTAAGAATGGACAGAAATTCTGACCACACCTATCCAAGAAATCTTCTGGAAAAACATCTCTCGTTTGCTTTAGTGTGATATCTTAGTTTTAACCTCAAAACTCAGACCTCAGAACTTGCACCCCCTTAAAGAGTTCTGTTCAGAAGAACAGCAATCCCGAAATAATGCCTACAGAGTAAGAGGCAAAGAGATTACACTCAAGGAGAGAGAAAAGAGTGCTTTGTCATCCACATGCCCATACAAGCCACATTCCTGCCAAGTGCCTGGTGGGTTGTTCTTGTGAAATCGCCTTCTTGGAGATATTCCTAGACAAAGCCCTGAGCAATCGAATGGAAGTTTGAAGCTGGCCTTATGTTGAGGCGGACTTGGATCAAGAGGTCCCTTCTAACCTAAACCATTCTAGGATTCAGGATGGTATAAGGGGTAGTTTTGTTTTGGACTGGGCTTTGTTTTGCATTTTTAACAGAAGGAGAAGTGTTTGCTTTCGCAAAAGGAGCTTTGTTACCCCAATCTGGCATCTGGAGAAGCTTAGGCAGCCTGAGAAGTGCCCTATGTCCCACAATGCACTAGAAAGACAGTAGGATGTACCTGTCAGTTCCCAGGCAGTTTTGAACATGGGGTGACACAGCCCCCTAGCATCCCATTCAGCCCCCTTTTGGTACGCATTTGTAAGTGTGAGTTGACATCCCACGTTGCTCCACCAGAAGAGATGCTCGTTATCTTTTGAGCTAGGTAGCAGAGCTATTCCACCCCCTCTGTAACTTTTACCCTATACCTGACTCAGTAAAGTGACATCGGGTTTCCTCACTAGGGTAAGTTTCTGCTTCTTCCATCTGTTTGACATCCTGCTTTGAGGGTCCTTGGGTCAACATAAGAGCTCAGAGTTCTTTATTATGGTAGGTGACAGGTTTGGAACTTGTCCAAATTAGCATTGACCCAGAAATCTCCTCTTGTGGCAGCCTGCTGACTTTTGTGAAAGGACCACACTGCAGGTCAGCTCCTCATAGACAGGAGGTGTGTTCAGAACAGTCTGGCAGGGATCTCTGCTCACAGTGTCAGCAACGGGGCTGCCGTGGAGCTGACATCAAACAGGGCTTCCTTTTGCCTTAATGTGCTCTACTCAGTCTGAAAGAGAAGCTTTGTTTCCTACTGCTGTTCTCTCACCAGCAGTACGTTTTGCAAGGGAAGCACAATCCCACACGAAGCACAAGTCTAAACTTGACACAAGGAGGAAAGTTAAGGCACAGCTTTACTTTTGTTTGGTCAACAGCACGGTCACGTGGACAAGGTATTCTTTCAGCCAACTGCAGTGCCTTAGCTCTCCAGCAAGAACTCGTCTGACACCTCCAGTGCTCTCTGCTCTGATGGAGACAGTGGTTGCTGAAGTCAGCATTAAAGTCAGAAGTCGGCATTAATTGTCTGGTTCAGCCAGGTGCAAACATAGTTCCGTTTCTGCTGCGTGCATTTAAGTCTCCTCCTATGTATCCCTCACAGAGATTTCTTTAACGCAGCAAAGCACCCCCTGCATACACAACGCTCCCCATGTGTGATGGTGAGAGAAGAGAGATGCTGTTCGCTGTCCTACTGAAGATGTTAAATAAACAGGGTCTGCATGAGACAAAGTGGATTTTGCCTCATGCTCCCCTACAGTTAGCAGGTATCTCAGGCATTAATACTGCAATGCATTGGCTTCCTGCACACCAGAGACAGCACTTCCAGTCAGCAGAGCCCTGCTAAAGGATTTGCTGTCACTTAACACATACGTTCACCATAGCCTGTACTATCAAGTGAGGTCAGATGCATTCTCTATCACATGAGGCTGAGCAGCACGTCTTACACTTCCAGGAGCAAGAAACTTGGAAGTCTGGAGAAACTATAGAGAAGGTGGTCCAGTAGTAACCTATAAACAGAACAGGGCCCATAAATCTTGGGCAGTAGCAGGCCAGAAGCAGCAACTGCATCACAGTTCTGGTGGGAATAATCAGGAATTGATGCAAGAGAGGTCAAATACATTTGAAACACCAGTCCACTGAACACAGACCTCCAGGGTGCAACGGCAGCAGAGCAGATCCACTGTTTACTAGATCTAGCACTTGAAGCATGCCAAAACCCTAGTCAGTCTTCGCCCCCCTCCCGGGGGGGGGGGGGGGGGTGAAGATGGTGCTACTGGAGAGGGATTAAGGTAGAATTGTGGAATGACTTGGGCAGAGCAACACTGCCTCATTGAGCTGAGATCATGAGTTGGAACCTCTCCAGCTTCCAAACCACACTGCCTCCATCTTAAATACAGGTTAATATGTATTTCCCCCAGATGATTTTATCTTGCATATCACCAGCACATCCTCCTACACACGTCTGCTAAATACCACCTCTTTATGCAGGGCCCTGCCCTCTTCCGCTGGTCTTCCCTGCTTCTGGGCTGTTTGATAACAACAAAGCAAGCAACGTGCCGAATGCAGCAAAGTATTTTGCTCTTCCTATCAGCTTGGGAGTATGAATTCCTTCTAATTACAAGTGAAGGAACAGGCTTGCTGTTCTACAAAGTTGAGGAAACCATCTTTAGACTGGCTTTGTAAGGCTCTTGTTTCTTTTTTTTTTTTTTAAAGAAAAAAAAATTAATGGTGAAGTAAAGGTCTCGCTCCCATCCCTCAATACAGGCTACAATTCTTGGAGCTTTTTCCAAAAGAGCCACTGTTACAGAATGCCTGGGCCTGGGGATAAAGGTGGTGAGGGGTGGGTTTTTTTTAAAAAAGGACACATGGCAAAGAAGAAATTGGAGGAAAACAATACCACAACTTTTACTTTCCTAGAATCCAGTCCTAGCAGTAGTCTTGACATGGTGGTTACATACGTAATTAGAGCGTTAGGATGGCAGTGGGACTAGAAGCTACTTACAGACCAAAAAGTTAGATATTAAAGCAGATAATCTGAGAATATAAGTTGTGCTCAGACAGCTATCAGCCCTATTAGAGGTCTAGAGGCTGTGCTAGGTGCTAAACGAATCAAGGAGGGTCACTTGGCCTTTGCTAGCTGGAAAGGGAGTTCCCCTTTCAAGAAGGGCTTCATGTCTACATCCTTACAAACTTGAGCGATGGTACCACACTTCTGAGCTTCTCTCTCTGGAAACACTAACACTGAACTGCTTAGAGAAAGGATAAGGTTATTAACTCCAGCAGAAAATACAAATTTGTCCTTAAAATACATGTGAAATTGAATTGTCCGTAGCACAAAGCTTTGGAGATTACCTATTGAAAATGAAGAAGTGACCTAAATTTAAAATTGTCCTCAGTACCATAGAAGGTAATTTCACAGCATGCTTCTCCCCCCGCAATTTCTTTTCCTCTTACAGCATCAAAATCTGCAGAGATTGGCTCTAATGATTTAGGCTTAAACACAAGACTTGTCTTCTTAGAAATGGTTACCAGTAAGGGGGGAGATGAACTTCTCTGGAAATGATGCAGGCCAGTAGCTTCTCCGAAGCATGTCTGAGGATAAATCACAAGGGTGGTTCAAACGTGGCAAACCTTTCTAACGTGGACACGCTGAGGACTCCTCAGTGACGTATTAAAAGACAGGGCAGACAGAGTCAAAGGACAGCTATTGATGCAACTTCCTAGTAGCAGTCAGCTTTGTTTCTGTAGCTGCGTACATATTGAAAAGATCACGGGAGGACCAGGGAGCTTTTCCAGCATTTCAGGTAGCTGTTTATATTTCAGACAAGGGTTGCTCATGAATGGTGTGTGGCAGGAAGAGGGAGTCTGGCAGCTCCTTTCTTTTCTAGGATGCTCCTTTCCTTGAAGTAGGCTTTGGGACCTGCCCAGCAGCCACAGGTGTCTAGAGAGTTAAATCCACCTGGCTAGTGCTTCCCAGTGGGAGGGAAGAGCCAAGTTGGATCTCCACTTAAGGAAGGAGAGTGCTTCAAGGAGGCTGCTTCTCAGTGTTGATGGCATGTTGCTTTTTCTCACCTGTTCCAAGTGAAGTGACCCAACCCACCACTTCCTGGCATGGAGGAGAGGGATCAAGTCTCAGCACTGCTCTGCCACAAGTACCATCTTGCCTGTCCCTGATGCTTTTTACTGTTTAACAGCACAGTTGCAGGTACAGTTGCTAGACCTAGGCAGGCTTGTCTAGGTCTCATCTTTTGGAGTCCTGCTGCTAGAATTGCAACTTGTGCTTTAGAAGCTCTGCTGTGCCCAGGACCTCCTGGCCCAGACACTGCTGTTTGGACAGCAGGTCAAGACACTTATTAGCAGCACCAGTTACGAGGAGGCTACAGAGCAGGAAAAGAAGCTGTGGATGGTGCACCTCTGGGTTATGTCTTTGGATGCGTCTGAGAAGCCTTCCTAGAAGGTGCATGCCTGAGATAAGGCCTAGATCTGGCTTCTAGGTTTGTTACAACAGCCACAGTGCTTAATGGGAGGGACACAGCAGGTAAACTTTTCTACGGGTTGTAATCCTTATGTTCCTTTTGCAGGCATTGCCTTGCTGTATTTGCACCTGTACAACGTGTATGGAGACCCAGCATACCTCCAGGTGGCCCACGAGTACGTGAAAAAGAGCCTGAGCTGCTTGACAAGACGATCCATCACCTTCTTGTGCGGAGATGCTGGGCCCCTGGCAGTGGCTGCAGTCATCTACCACAAGCTGCAGAACCACAAGCAGTCAGAAGACTGCATCACTCGGTAACACATTCAGTTACGTCTTTGACCTAATGTTCCTCCTAGAGCCGGTCTGGGCTTTTACCAGGCCCTCTCCTCTGAGCCAAAGTACGTTTTGCCACAGTCTGGTGCAAGAGAGAGAGAATCCAGCAACTGAGCAAAGCGACACAGATTTGTTCAGCCCTAGAGAAGTAGCTAGCTTAAGGGCAAGCGCTCCTGTCTGGCAGCCTGCAGGCTGGGACCAGGGGTAGGAGAGTGAGGTTATTCTTAAGCTGGTATTTCCATCTTAGAAATTATTCAGAGAAAGAGGAGTCACAGCATTCTGTGAAACACAGGGAAAAAATGTTGCCAAAATAAAAAAAAACAAAAAAGGAAAGAAAGAAAAAGCCCACCCACCAACCAAAATCCACAAACTGAAGTTTGGGATTTTTTCCAGAACCTTTATATTTAGCTTCAACAGGTATTTTGATGAAAAGGAGAAATGGGGCAGCATTATTAGAAGAATTTTGTCACTGGTTTTCCCCTTATTACTTATTAGTTGACTTGGACTTACACCTTAGATCGAAGTGCCCTTTCGAGTGCTGAACGGCCCTGGTTATGATTCATTTATTTCTATTACCTGCCTCAACTGTTTTCAAGTATTTTTTGTTTTACGTATCCAACAAAGGTCAGGACTTGTAAGCGGTCCTACAACAAGATCAGGAAGTAGCAGGGGAAGGGAAAAAATTTAAGAAAGGGAAGAGATAGCAGTTGCAAGCTTTTCTTGCTTAAGGGAGATAAGCTTTGAGAAGGTGAGAAACAGCCCTGGATTGAGTTTCCATTTATGAGTTGTCAGCACACAAGCAAGGGGAAAAAAAACCCAAAACTTCAGAACAACACTGAATGGCTTCAAATGGTCATGAGCAAAAGATGAATAATACCATTTAAAAAACAAAAGTGGGAATCAGAGGTTCCTGTAAGATTTGGACACTCAGTTCCCATGCCTTTACTGACCAAGAATAGCTCCTGGTTTACGCAGATACAGCCAGTCAGAGGACAGAATTCCCTTCTTCAAAGATGATGTGGTTTGGGCAGCGATTTGCTTAATATCATATCAAAGTGGTGAATCTTATTAGGATTCATATATTTGCTAACAGAGAGAGAGAGAGAGAGAGAGAGAGCGCGCTAACCTGTCAAACAGTACTGGCCAGTTGTGGTTGGGATATAACCCCAAGTTGAGGGAAGTCACCAATTCATATTTTCTTGGTGCAGTTTTCCCCTCCACATGTCGCTCCTGTTCCATCTATAGTTTTATGGCAGAAGGGAAACTCAAGATTAATTCTGCACTGCCATCTAATGGCATAATAAGGGCAGAGCTGTGGAAACAGGTTTTTTTTTTTCCCGTGCAAGTCTACGAAGAGAAAATGGGGCTTTCATGAAGCAAGTTACACAGTCCTTACTCTACCACCAGTTAGTTCCCAGAGCAGTTAGCTTGAACATACTACCAAAAAAAATAAAATGAAAAAAACAGAGCCTGAGGAGAGAATTCATCAGCCAGGTTCTCCTTGCAGTGGAAGAGACAGAAGCTTGCTTTTTTTGGCTGCTTGCTCTTGCTGAAATGAGTTCATGACCAATAAATATACTTTGCACTCTGGAGAGATGTAATATTTCACGGCAGCCCATTTCCCAAGAGCTTGTGAAAACCTGAGCTATGTTCGTGGAGTCTTCTTTAACCTGCCATCTCCCACCAATTCGGGAGGTCAAGGGCTTGCTTTTAGAGCCAGTGCAAAATCCCATTTTACTGTACAGCTTTCTCACTTTCCCTCTGTCCAGCAAATACTGATTTTTTGCACTTGAGATGATAGGCTGCTTTGCGAGCAGTGGTTTTCTTTCAGGGCCCTCCGTTTACCCCCTTATGTCTGAGGAATGCATTCTGCATGCAGTCAGCCCCGCTGCATCCCAGGCATCTCGCACCACCCACCTTGAGACATTGTTCTCTCCTTTCTCTTTACTACCTCTGCCGCTTTGAGTCCAGTGCCAAGGGAGGCTTTCATGCCACAGTCAGAGCCCAGCATCCCCCATCTGCTCCTCAGGTACTCCGGACACCCGGTTGCTCCTTCCTTTACAGCAGGTTGCTCTGCCCGAGAGCAAGGGCTGCTGAGGCACCTTAGCTGTTCCTCGTGCTGCTGTGGCAGGGGAGCCCTGCACACACAGCTCTCCCAGGGTGAAACCGCAGCAGGACGCAGCTGAGGAAACTGGCTTGAAGCTGCTCACGCTGGTGTTTTAAAAGTGCTGACATTTTTCAGGCTGCTGCCTCGGGTGAACAGAAAAATAAAGCCAAAAACAATCCCCTTCCTGCCTCCTGCTCACTGCTGCGACAGAGAAGGACATCCAACCTTGGTGGAAGTGTGATGAGGGGCAAAACAGAGGAAAACTTGCGCTGTCAGTCACTGTTAGCACCACAGGCGTATCACCATACTTGCAACATGCCAATAGCCTGAAAAAGGCATTGAAATTTTCTGACTCCAGCAGGCCCTTTGCTCTGGGCTTGTGGGCTAACGCCTGGTGCCAGCCAAGCGGTCCTCGGCATGGGGCTCACCACAGGCAGCGCACAGCACTCGTGCTCTGCCTGGGCTGGGTAACTCTCCCTGGAGAAGGTTTCTTACATGACCCCTGGAGGCTTGATGTTAAAGAACACGTCCAGCCCCTTCTCTCCACCTCTTATCTAGATTTTTCCCTCTTGCAAGCACCTCTTTCTCCACTGACAGGGAAGCCCTAGCGATTTTGGGGCATGGAGGGGAAGTGGCTTTGCTATCTCAGTCAGGACTTAAGAGTAAGGGGTGAGATTTTTCCAGACACCCTCAGCACCGGCTTCGCTTTCCAGCGTTCCCCCAGCAGCCAAGTTAAACAGGTACCAGTTAAGTTTGAAAATAGTCATTTTGGCAAAGGGGCTGACTTCCCAAAGGCATTGTAGAGGGGGTAATGGTGGACAAGCATTCACTGCTCAACTGGGGCAGGCTGCCTTCCTTGAGCAGTCAGCAGCTTTATGCTGCCCGTCTCCTATAGCCCAGGCTTCCCCACAAAGAGTTTTCACAGAGCTGGCGCTATAGAAACAAGCACATACTGTAATTGCATTGTGCAGCATTGAACAGACTAAAGCAAAGGCCAAACAAAAAGCAGAAGGGAAGGAGGGATTATCAGGGATTATCCACCTCGTGTAGCTGGAAGGCTGAGACCCAGAGACTGGCCTGACATCTCACAGGGAGTGGGCAGTACTAGGGGACAAATAGTATTTTTGAGCTCCCATCTTGCTGCTTGGTTACATGGCTTTGGATGTCCTGTTCCTCTAATCCTGCTATACAAGTTTTTCTTTGTAGCTTGCTCCACCTACACAAGCTTGACCCACGAGTGCCAGATGAACTGCTTTACGGGCGCATGGGCTATCTCTATGCGCTGCTATTTGTGAACAAGCACTTCGGAGAGGAAAAGATCCCTCAAAGTCATATTCAACAGGTACCGTGGCTTCTCTACGGCAAAGGCTAAACCAGCCACCTGCTGATCTGCCCTCCACCTCCTCCTGTGCAGCACATCTTTGGGCAGGTAGAAACTAATGCCAGACACAGAACTCTGGCAACAAGTGAAAAACCATCTCCTGGTATCGCCACTGCTCAGACTGTCCTTCCAAAGGGAAAGGGCACCAGATGCCCTTCCTAATCCATGTAAATCCATACACAGTGCTGAAGTGGCAGCTGTTTCACTCCCTCATGCATGGTCTCCCCTCTGCACAATCAGAATAAGAACAGCTTATGGCTTTGTTATGTGTTGGGATACTCACTGTGCTGGCTCCACGGCACCGGCATTTCTCTCACCCACATCTGTTGCTCTCTATAGGTCTGTGAAGCAGTTGTGGCCTCAGGCGAGAACTTGGCCAAAAGGAAGAACTTCACAGCAAAGAGCCCACTCATGTATGAATGGTACCAGGAGTACTACGTAGGGGCAGCCCATGGCTTGGCTGGGATTTATTACTATCTCATGCAGGTAAGACACAGCTGGAGAGGATGGGCCTTTGGCAGCTGTTTCACTTCTCTTAGAACAAGGGAGAGCGGCTGCATTGGCTCTGGGTAATGTCAAGCTGGGCAGCCTCCCTTGCTGGGTCATGCATCCCCACTGCCAAGGGTTTTCTCCATGTCTGTGAGATTGGATTTCCTGCCTCCATGGAGGGCCCTAGGAAAATGGGGCCTGCATTATATCAGCAGTTTCACATGATGAAGCCTCATGGCTCAGCTGGTCTGAGCTTCCACCTCTTGTGCTAATCGCTGTAAATTATTCCCTTGTGTTGGTGTCTGTGGGCTTCCTGCATTTCTGAGGTCGTTATCTGGAGCAACATCAGATTGTTTCAGAGAGAAAATCTCTATAAGAAAAGAGTAAGTGAAAGAGATCTTAGTCATCTTAAGACATGGGGAACTGCCTAGATTTTCAAATCAGGGTTTATATCCCAATATTAAAGGTGTGAAATTTTTTACTTTTATAAAGCAGCTGAGGTCTGTAGTGCCTGAAGCAGGCAATGTGAGACAAGAGGTTGGGAGCTGCTGCGCCCCTTTGCTTTGATACTGTCTTTCTCACAATTTTAGATGACTCACTGGAGGTGTGGAAATCTTCCATTACCTAGCTCTGAACTGTGGGTGGTAATTCCCCTGTGTGGGTCACTATGTGGGTATGCTTACAATGCTTGAGCTCTTAAAAAATCACAGCAATAAATAACATTGTATTTTCAAAGCATTAATAGCGATAACTGAGAAATGCACATTATTTTAACATGGCAAGGTTCATAGAAAGAGGTGATATCTTTTATTAGACTGAACTCTCACAGCTGGTGGAAAAGAACCCACAAGCTTTCAGGCACTTGAGCTCTTTAAGTCTGAAGTCGGAGCCTCAAAGTTGGAGCCTATAGGCAGGAGCGGCGTTCTGTGAACTTAACCCTCTTATATAACTTGGTTAGAGAGGAAGGGGTGGTTGGCACTTTTGAAGCAGAAGGGGATTTGGCAAGAGGAGAAATAAGAAAGATGGGGGGTGATTATTGCCCTGGAGTACAGAATGGCTTAGTTGGAGGCAGGGAAAACTGCAGTGTGCTATGAGCCCAAATCTGTGACGAGCCCCTGAGCTCATTCCCAGGGTGATGTTTTAAAGAATTTTAAGTCTTAAGTCCCCCATAAATTACCATCTAGGATTCGTGCATGTGGCCTGCTGTACGAAGTACAAGGAGCCTGGAATGCTCTTGGCTGTACAAGGATCAGCTCCCTTTAAGCACAAACTGTGCCTCATGTGACACGGAAAGGAACAGCCAGGCAAAACGCACAAAAAGCCTTGGGGGGAAACAAATGAGCGAAACATGGAGAGGAGGACGTTGGACTTTTATCTCCAGTGGTTCTACAGCACAACTATTGATTTTTAATTTACAAGTTATCAACCTGGGAACACTGTGATCCTTAGACTAGAGTTCTTATTGCAGTCTGCCAAGAGAAGTCAGAACTGCACAGATTTCATATGCGGCAGCATAACTGGGAGAGGACACTGAAGTCCCTCTCCTGCTTTCATCTGAGATCAGTGGTGAAATCACCACCTTGCAGTTACCCGAGAACATCTGTGGAAACGCAGCATCACAGCCCTCCAGCTGGGCTGGCCCTCCAGCTCAGAGCTAAGGTGCTCTGCGTGCTAGGAATTATTCTTGGTATTCACCCTTAGTCTTGTTTCTCTGGGCTTTACCTCCTGCCTGAAACTATTGCTACTCATCTTCAGAAGTCCTCTCTTCTCTTGCTTAGAGGGCTGGCTGACATCCTAGGGCCAGTCACTGTTTCTGGGGACACTAAGGTATGGCTGGAAGTGAGACCGTGCTGAAGGACAGAGCAGCCCGGGGGCCTCTGTTCTTCAGTGCCAGTGGGTCTTTGTGAAGTGCAAAAGCCCAGACCACAGAAACAGCTTCACATACAAGGAGCGCGAAGGGATGCTGCAACAGTCAGCTTTGTTTCTGCCTTTCAAGCAGGCCTTGGGCCTTTCATGGAGACACAGAAAGGTAATTCTCTCTGATTTAACACTTTCTCTCTCTTAGCCTGGCCTTGGAGTGAGCCAAGTGAAACTGCACAACACAGTCAAACCCAGCGTGGATTACGTCTGCCAGCTCAAGTTCCCATCAGGCAATTACCCTCCGTGCATCGATGATACCAGAGACCTACTTGTCCACTGGTGCCATGGGGCACCAGGTCTTATCTACATGCTTATTCAGGCCTACAAGGTACTAGATATCCGAAGAGCCTTTGGGGACCCCTAAACTTGGAGTTTGATCATTGAGAAAACTCTTTTGGGAACCCCCTGCCAGAGAGCAGGACGTCTTGTCGTAATGAAATCACCCTGCAGGGACCACTGACTGAAACAGAAATTAGTCTTTTGAAAATTTATTTCTGAAAATACCCATGAGCCATGTGGGGTGTTGTGTCACAGGTGACAGATGGTGATAGCTAGTTGGGCATTAAGTAATGTCATACAGCCCTATTCATCACGTTAAAAATGCCTTCATTTGAAAGCAAACAGCAAAGAACAGCTCTTAAGACTTCAGTAGGAGAGGAGCTAATAATGAACCTGAGCTTCCCCGCTCACCCAGGGATGCTGTCAGTGTGGAGGAAATTGCCTCAGCAAGGAGGTAATCTTTCTTGTCTCTACAGGTGTTTGGGGAAGAGCAGTACCTAAATGATGCCCTGCAGTGTGCAGAAGTGATCTGGCAGTATGGGTTACTGAAGAAAGGCTATGGGCTGTGCCACGGGGCAGCTGGCAACGCCTATGGCTTCCTAGCACTGTACAACCTCACTCAAAACATGAAATACCTGTACAGGGCCTGCAAGGTGAGAGCTCGCATGAGGAAGGGGGAGGGATGATTCACTTCTGCCCTTTATATCACTTCCATTTCCTTTGTAACCTAATTTCTAGATCTAACCAGCTCCACCAGCACAGTCCTTCAACAGTGCAGTCACTGTCTGACAGCCTGCACAGAAGTAGTATCATGCAGAAGCCTTGCTCTGCCAAGGGATGACGTGAGGATGGGGATGGTAATTTTTAAGATCCATCTCTAACAAAATTTGGACATTTCTGTTCCCCTTTTCCCAGTTTGCAGAGTGGTGTTTAAGCTATGGTCAACATGGGTGCCGGACTCCAGATACGCCATTCTCTCTCTTTGAAGGTAACCTCCCTCTCTAGTCTTTGTTTTGCTCCGGGGCCTTATCCAGTCCAGCGCTGAGGAGGACTGAATACATGTTCCTCTGAATTCAAAACTCAGTGTAGAGGATGGGAGGGAAATTGTATTCACCGTTTTTACCCGTTCCCAGAAGTCTTCTAATAGCACAGGCCAGTGGCTCCAGCTGCAGCATCTTGTTCTCTTTGGGGCTCCTGCTCACAAGTCTCAGGAGGAATTATTTAACGGGCACAGAACAAAGCTTACCTTACAGCAATTGTAGCCTGGCTTCTCAGACAGGCTTCTCTCTCTTATATGCATTTTTAAGGACTGAAATCCTTCCTGGGCTTTCCAGTTCCATTCCAATGATCAGTGAAGAACAAATGGAGTCATTCTGGTAGGCACTGCTGGCTCCCGTGGCACTTTGTGGCTCCTGTGAACGGCTCCCCAAAAACGGGCCGTCAGTGGGGATTGCTGAAAGAGTCAGTTCCTCAGCTACTGTAAATCTCCCTAGCTTTGCTGCAGTCCATAAACAAGGCCAATTACATCAGTGAGGGATCTGAGGGCCAAAAGTTTTGCAAAGGCATTTAGAAGCTTAAACCTGAGGACAGACAGAGTAGAAGGGAGGGGGCTGGAAGTGGGGAAGACTCCTCCAGTTTGCCCAGGCTTTTTTCAACACCTGATTAACTTCAAAATGCTCTCCCTTCTCAAGTGCCTGAGTTGCTACGGAAAACCACGTTCAGACCTTGGAAAAGATTTACATCCTTCTGAGTACATTTTCTTTGCTTTGGTCTTCATAACTCATTCATGCACCCTCTGAATAACTGCTAATATGGGTGCCTGAAGGGAATCTCTCTGGAGCGTGTTCTCTTTTTTTCTGTCCTCAGGAATGGCTGGAACAATTTACTTTCTTGCTGACCTGCTGGTGCCGACCAAGGCTAAGTTCCCTGCATTTGAACTCTAAACCTGAGCTTGGCAATGCCCTAGCTGAATCCTTCTGCACTTGGAAAAGCAGTTCGAAGTTGCTTTCTCCTCTTTCCAAACTCATCGTTGTTTACCTAACTGAACGTAAATCCATCCTCCTGATGACATGCTGAGTTCGTTAACGTTTCTAGCCATCTCATTGCATTGTTTTGATTTAAAAGACAGAATTTAGATTTTGCTGGCGTCTCCTAAAAATGCAGGGCTGGGAGTGGGCGGGAGTAAATGTATAATCTTTTGTTGGCTTTACAGAGTTTTGCTATTTTCTGTATCCCATTTACTGGGAGAAAGTTTTCTACTGAATGTACCTTTGCCCATTTAACTTTTTTTGTGCTGACAGGTAGTTACAGGAATTTAGTTGCCTTTGGAAAACAAAAGATGAACTACTGGGACTATTGCCCTGCAATTTGCTTCTAAGCATTTTCTTTCTGACCATGCAGGGAGCAGGCAGCTCAGTAGCTGGGCTGCTCCACGTGAAGTGAATGTGATGGACTGTAGAGTCTCTATATGTGTCTTTTCTGTCAGATTGCAAGTGGCACAGCTGGAAATGACATGCCAAAGCCTTGTCCTAGATTTACACCTGTCTGCTTGGCAGTCAAAGGCTATTATGTATAGCTTTTTGTGCATTTTTTCAGTGACAGGCAAACAAATAATCCAGTGGCTTTTGTGCTTATTCATGATCTTGCGATAAACCTTCCAAAAGTCCATTGATCATTTAATGGCAAACTTCAGTTTAAAAGTCAGCTAAGAATGCTTGCTGGTGTGGTCTCTCCTGTTCAGCTTTCAATTTTTTTTTTTTGCAGGCCATATTTAAAATTGTGTATGAGCATCATAGATGTTCGGTGGAACCAAGCCTACCAGCAGCAGCATGGGAAAAGAAATGTATTCCACTGAGTTCTGTCAGTGTTTAAACCTGTTACCTGTGTAGATTTTTTTTTTTTTTTTAAACAGGCTTTGTTTTATAAGCTTTCCTAAACCTGGATAATTTGAGTCACTTGTTTGGCTTGTTTGGCTTGTTACTGCTTGTTATAGTTTGAGATGCAAGCACGAATCCACCCAACTAGCAGCTGGAAAATCCGCCCTAGGTTAAAAAGCTTTGGGCCCTCAGCGTACCAGATCCTTGCAAGGGGTTAATCTGCTTTGCTATTCCCTGCTGATGCTACACAGAGTTACAGCAGTTGGGGACCTGACCCTGTGAGCCAGTCTTAGCACTGAGCGTGAGCTAAATGCTGGGTGCAGCGAAGGTTACTGACCCTGATGTACTGCTTTGTGCTGGCTGTGGGAGGCTCCTCAGCCTGCACAGGAGTGGATGCGGGTTCTGGTCTCTCAAGGGTGCCTTCACTGACTACTCAGGCTACCTAAGAGCAGCCTCCCAGGCATGGGGGCTGCCAGGTAGGGCTGGGCAGCCTCTCAGCAGGCGAGCTCCTGTACCAGCAGTAGGGAGGCTGAGGCAGCCCCCAGCTGCCCTTGCCTGCTCCAGAGCTTGCTGTGCTTTTACCACGAGGACCAGACCTGGCTGGTAAGAGCAAGCCCACACGCACCTGAGCATAAGGCAGTCTCGCCTCCTAACAACAGTGGCAGACTCGCAAGAACCTCGTGGATGGGCTGCTTCAGCAAAGAGTAGAAACCATGCCCTGGAAGGTCACCTGTCTCCTCACAGCCCAGCCTTGTGCTGTCATCACACACTTCAGCTGATTTGTTAGGAAACAGCCTGAAGCGCAGAGCAGCTCATCTGCTTTTGGGTGGGTGTTCCTGGCAGGAGCCTCAAGCTCATGCAGACTCAGCGGTCTTTTTCCCTATCGCTCATGGGATTGCAGCAGCACGGGCAAGCGACTGGAAAGTAAGCAGCACAGCCTCGAGAGCAGGATTTTGCTACTCAAACAGCATGGCGATGGGAGGGAGTCCTGTAACTGAGGCCTGCTGTAAGCTACCTTCCAGCCTGCCTGTTCTGGCAGTGCAGGGGCACTTGCCTGCAAGCCTGGATTCCTCCTGGGCATCATTTCTCCTCTAAGAGATGGTTCGTGCAGCCTAGTGCCGTGGCAGCATCGTGTCCCAGGGTTCATATGCTGGTCTGCAAATCACCAGGGCCTGGAGTACAACTGGCAGGGGGCGCACTGTTTAATAAAATGCTAAAACAAACAAACTTTGGGCTATTTTTTTCCCTCCTTTATGACCAGGAATCATGTCTGCAGAGTTCAAGATATGCCAATAGCCACTCTGGTTAAGGTGCTACAATGTTCTCAGGCACACCCATAACACGGAAGGTGACTGTGGATTATGGGAACGCTGTGAATAGATAAATGCTGCTGGGATGCTTCAGACACTTTTGCCCCTGCAGCTGCAGCAATCCAAAGTGGCTTTTTCACAGGTGCTCACTAACACACAGAGTGCGAGTTTTACTCTGTACAGGACTGCCAGGGCTTTACCTGAAACTAAGGAGCCCCAGCTTCCATTTCAGTAAGTTTTATTTCCTGAGAAACAGGGGAGGCCATATTAAATGTTTGCTCTTGAAAGCACTAGGACTATTGCAGCGTTCGCCAACAGAAAGAGGATGCGATCCAGCCCTCCAGAAGAAGGAAAGATTTGGCTGCTTGAGGTGTCTTACGGCCATATTTTCTATGATTTCCATTTCTATTAAGGTTTGTGACAAAGCTCTTCCGGGAGGGGATTAGCAATTGGGATGGGAAAGAAGCATAGTGTGAGTTTTCACTGGTGGACCCTCCTTCCTCATGCAGGGCCATGGTGCTGCTCACTTCCACCGGACTCCGGGGCTGAGCAGAGGGAGCGGGAACAGGACAAAGCCTGGAGAGGCAGCAGTTACATGCAGAGAGCGGAAGGGAAAGAAAGGAACAGTAAAACTGGTATTGCCAGGCCTCAGAAAGATTCGGTAAAGTTCATCAAGAGCAGAAGAAAAAAAAAAAAAAAGCCCTAAAAATTTGAAGGATTTTAAATTTATTCTCAACAAGCTACATCATAGGGATTTTATCAGAATTTTATATGTTTAAATATTAGTTCTTGGGGATAGTTATGTTCCTCCATGATGGTGTTTTGTTTTAAAATCAAGTGCCTCATACCTGCAAGAAATAAAGACAGCCTGAATACACTGCCAGACTGGCTCAATTCATGCTCACTCCTATGCCTAACAGTGCTATCAGTAACATGAAAAATGTCCCAAATACTGTTGGCCAAACAGCATCTATAGGTGTGCATTCCCCCCCCCCGAAAGCCAGCCCTGATTTTAGCTCTCAAGAGCTGACAGCAGGCCCAACCATAGGAGAGATGAAATAAAGACAGGGACAGTGGGAGGGGGCAAATCTGTTTTTGCTGCTTGCATCCAACTTGTTTTATTTCCCATTCTGGATATTAACTTCTCACATGCCCACAGTGCAATCTGCATGGATGCTAAATCTGCAACTAATATTCTGTTGTCAAATAACCAGTCATGAGTGCCTCCACCATTAGCAGTCAGATGCACAGCTCATTTGATAAATCAGTTTATAAACTAGCATTGCAGTCATCTAATACATACTGGATGCTGAAGCCTGCCTCACTTTGAAAACACTTCAGACTAATACGGTCCCTAGCAAAACTCTGCCTTAAATTCTGTATGATTTCAAGAGGCCATTTATCAGTAGGGACAGCCTGTTAAACAGCATGAGAAGAACATTATTAAGGATGCTTCCCACCCCCAAAGGCAAGGGGGACATTGTTCCTGTCTGCCAGGCGAGGAGCTGAGCAAGGTAGAAGAGGAAGGTTCCCCTCCCATTCCCCCTTTTCCTCTTCCCCTCGTTTTTTTCATTCTTTTCCCAAAGGGTAATACCCTGGCCAAATTTGAGTAGAGTTTTTTCATAATGATACCAAAGGGCTGGTCCCAGGGAGACCACAAGTCATGCTCCAAGGCAGTAAGGTCCTAGCACGTACGATTAAATTTTAAGAGTTGTGGGGGGGTTTTGTTCTGTTTTGGTTTTTTATATTGGGAAGAGCAGCACAGCTTCCTCAGATCTCCCTGCCTAGAATGGCTGAGCAGTTCAGCTACAGCGTTCTCCCTCGTCCCCTCTGCTGCACCCAAAGAAAGACCCTGAAGTCAAAGCAAACACCCAGGACTGGGAAATTTAAACCCCAGGAGTTACAACACATCAAGTTATAAAGTGTCTGAAGAGAAAATCCAAGAGAGGAACGCGTCACGTGCAATAGCAGGAGGACAGAGCAGATCTGCCTGCAATAAACGCCTGAGAAAACATGCTGGAGTCAACAGGTTTGCTACTTGCAGTGGGGTCAGGGATTCCTCAGCAGCTTGCAGCATGTCCTGTTGAAGGAGTTTCAATAATAATATTATCTCTAAGAGGGTGCCCTTACAGGTTTGGTGAGGCTTTACGTAACCTTTTTGTTCAGCTTAAACGCTCAGAAGTGCTCCTGTTTGGGGTTTCTGGTGGGCTTTCTGGTTTTGTTCCCCATCCAGTTCCTCTCCCGGGGAGGCCGGGCCATGCTTCTGCACAAGGGCCGAGCTGCAAAAAGGCATTTTGACCTTCGCCCTCTTCTACTCATTTTTATAAAACAGGCAGGGTACTACAGCATGAGTGCCCCCATAAGGGCCTTACATAGCAGAAAACGAGGGGAAACCATGGTTTCCTCTGCAAGCTTTTGGTGGAAGCCATTGTCTGTCACAGACCAAAATGGCTTGGGGACACCCCTCATTAAAGCACGGCTGAAGATGGCCTTAGCAAGGGGCTGTGTCCCCCCAGCAGGTGGCAATGCAGCCTGACAGCAAGCAGCCCACCAAGCCCTGACTGGGCCCTTGCCTGCCCTGGAACTGGTTGTGGTTCCCCCTGCCCATCTCACTGTGCTTTCATGTTGCTCACAGCCAAAGGAAACAAGATCTTTTTGAAATAACGTCTATCACTAGAGTGGAAATGACGCTACGTTCCTTCCATCCGCAGCTATCCAGGCACAGCCCTGCGTTCCCCAACACCTCACATCTGTGTAGGGGTGCTGCAGGACGATGGAGTTCAGAGCATGACCTCAACGACTGGAGCCTTCATCCCTCTGAACACTGTGCAACACTAGCTAGCGCGTGATAGCACTTCATCAAAACTGCTCCGGGCTAGAAACCAACTCCTAGCTTAGCAGCTGTCAAAGAAATGAAAGCAAAGGAGAAATGGATGGTTATTAGAGTGGAAGACGAAAATCCAGGCCCCAGCTGCGACGCATTATTCAACTGTGCCCAGATACCTGCACAGCGGAGTCGAGGCTCTGCACCCCCAAACGCAGTGAATGCATGAACTCGTCTATCCGCTGGAACGACACTAACCGCTCAACGTGCTGAATTCTCCCACCCGGCCGTGCAGCTTCCTCTACTCAGAAACGCCTGCTTGTTGAGATTGCTCTAACGGGATCTGAAAACACGCACCAGTACTGGCACCACTTTGCAAATGCATGCGCACCCAGGAAGGTATTCCCCTTCTGCCTCTTCCCAAGTCTTTGCACGCTCACAGGAGAGAGTGGGGACTCTGCTGGGAAAGCACACCCCTAACAGCACAACAGCAAGGGCCATCCCATCTCATTGAATTTAAGAAGACAGTCCTCAGACACAGCTTAGCCTCTGCCCACCGTTCCTTTCCTTTCAACTGCTCAATTCATTGCTCTTTCAATACCTATTAAGAAAACACCGTGCAAGTCCTACGTTGCTTGAATCTCTAGACATAACACCAAAAATACTAGGATCAAATATTAAAACCAATAGTAAAACACAGATAAAGAGGGCTTCTCACAGCTGTCCAGCCAAGGAGAGTGAAAAATGCCCACCTTAAGTGTTCTCTCCTTGCATTAGCAGCAGTTCTCAACGTTTTTTAAGCCCTATGTCCTTGATTGTATTAGATGCCCTAATTCTCCATCAGCATCCACCCACAGTCCTCCTGCATCATGGAGTCATAATGCTACTAATGG